AGATGGTAGTACCAAGATTACAGGTAATATACCCAACCGATCGTCGAATAATTGTTACTGAAACACAGGCCTATTTTACTAAAAACATCTCTGGTGGGATTCGAACTCTAGACCTGCCACTTGGGGGTGACAACTTAACTACTACTCTAAGTCGCCACACCCTCTATATGAGTTATTTAATTCACTTGATTCATTAATTTTCAGCTAGGACTATTATTATAATTTTATTAGCTAGAAAGCATCAAATCCTAATATTAAACTGCCAAACGTTTGTGATACTATATATCAAAATGTTGACTCCATCCTCAAAACATTTGTTGCACCTAATTTAATTGAGAAAATTCGCTATAAAATAAATCATAGCTTGCTTTATCATTCAATTAAAATCAATCCTGAAACTTTAAACTCATATCAGGTAACTATATTAGCATTTTGTTCATTTACTGATAAACAATTTACTAACAATTATTTTGCGAACAAAATAATCTACTCTAATACGAACTGCCAAAATTAATTGATTTTATTGGTAAATACAATACATACCAATAACTGTTAACTATATTTTATTATTTTTTTTTTGTTATAGAGCAAGATAAAGATACAGTATTCGTTAACAACACATTTGACTATCCGTTGGCACATTCCTTTGCACTTCTGAAACAACTTGAAGAACAAATAATTGAAGTTTAGAAAGTTATGTATATGATCTAGAAACATTTTCGACTTCATGTATTTTTGTTGAAGGATAGTTCATTTACATGTAGTTGCATGTTATTAACAAATCGTGGATATCCTTGTTGATATTTTTTCAGAGTCATGGTATTTTCTTCTGCTGCAAAATTTTCTATTAATTTTGTAGCAAGTTGTTGGTTATATGAGGAATACCAAGACAAAGATCTTGACATACAACCTCTTGTTAATTTATCTACAGTTTTTTTGTCTAAACCATCAAAAGAACTATCAATCCCAACCACTATACTACGAACTAATAACTCTTCAAATTTATTTTTGGTATTTCATCCTACACCATTAAAAAAGTAATAGAGAAGAAAAAAATTTATACAGAGACTATTGGAATCATGCATAAAGCAATCAACATTGCTATTAAGACAAATGATTCACAAGTTCTTAGGTTTTTAAAAGAATACATTATTCAAAAGGAACATTCACTTGTTGAAAATACAACTGGTGTATCTCATTTGGATTATAAAGCAAATATACTTAAGAAATGTTCCAAGTCTAATATAATTAAAACCTTATCACCCACCAATATTTCTAATCCTATTAAAAAGGTTAGAAAAGGTCGACCACCAAAAATGAAACACTATAAATCATTATTAGAGAAACAACCATCAAGAAGTAAAGGGAAGTAACATAAATTAATACATAGTCCTGAAACAAATACATGTGGTGAATGCAATAGCAAAGGTTATAATTGCCGATAGTATATTAAGTATGAAAATAAGAATTATGATTTGTCAACTATTTGCTAATCTTGTGGTAGTCATGGTCATAAAAAAGAATTGCATAACTATAATTATACCAAAACTAATGATGAAATAAATAGATGAAGTCTAGTGATACAGAAT